TGCCTCTTGGGTGGCTAGAGACAGTCCCATAGGGAACCCTGAATACCAGGAGAGAGGCCTCTGTTCATGTGGAGCATTGCAAGGAAAGAAATACCAAGTTATGTTTGCACGACAGCGTCCAGAATCATTTGTCCCTGTTTCTTGGACAGATGCAGGTAAACATAGCTTGTTCTTGTTCTTTTGCTGTTCCCAAGCATAGAAGTTGTTAACATAATCTCAAAAGTATGGGCATAAGCATCATCTGGGAAAATGTTCCTTTAGCAATAGTAGGGTTTATTGCAGAAGAGGTAGTGCTATTTGATTTTTTTGCCTCAGTTCAACTTCATATATCTTCTTTTCTCCCTATTCCTGTGCTGGGCAGGCAAGATAACAAGAGGTCAAAATTTGAGGAAATAATTTAAAGTTGTGTAACAGTAGTGCTTACATCTGCACTGTCTTATTGGCTTTCCTGCTCATTCATGATATTGCGTAGGAGAAGACACATGAGCATTTTTTTAGTGAGATCTTCATTTGCCAAATCTTATCATCTAAAGAACAGACATGGACACTTTAAGGCCAAAACATTGAGAGTAGAAGTTGCTCCAGGGTGTTCTTATCGTCCTCTAAAACAACTTGAAGGTAGGACAGGAACATGTGCTAGTCGAGCAATAATGAGTGTCCGAGGAGTGTCGGTCGCAGAGGCGCTCAGCGGGATGAGAAAGGGTGTTACTTTTTCCTCAGCACGCTGGAGGAGGTAATTCGCCGGAGGGACAAATGTCTGTTCTCTGTGCTGTGACCTGAAGTCGGACAAAGAGCATATGCATTGGCCTGCATAGGTGGTGCTAATGGCTATTTATTGTGAGAAAAATAATGCCCTTTTTAATGCACTTTTTTAAGGGTGTTGGGTGTGTTGGTATTTTTAAGCATCTATTTTTTTTTCTTCAGGACTGAACACGGTGTTGGCTATTCTAGGTGAGCCGTAGATTTCCCGTTGGTGATGGCAGCTTTGTTAGTCACTTTATTTATGGATTTCTTCCTTTGCCTTGTCAAGCAAGTCAGAGGATATCTCTGGCTGCTTCTCTGGCTCCTGATCGTTTAATCTGCTTATACAAATAAAACTTTGTTTCTGCTCTTACATTTGGGTTTAATACTGGTAACCCACGATGCTAGTCTGGATGCAGGGATCCTCTCTGAGAAATGGGGTAAGATAGGAGGGGGGAGCAGGGGAAATGATAGTGATTCTCTAATCTCCTGTGTAACACAAGCCAGAGAATCCAACGTCTAGTCCAAAATTTCCTCTGAAACTTCTACACATCTCAGAAAGTGACTTTAGGTTGACTGTAAGTGCTGGTGGCCCCACCACAACCCTAGGCGAGATGTTCCTGTAGTTAATTATCCTTTGGGTTTAATAATAATTTTAAAGCTTTGTTTCTAGTTTGAACTTGTCAAACTTCAGTGGTCAGCTATGGGATCTCATTGTGTCTTTTTTTTGTTCCTGATTAAAGAGTCATCTGTTATCAAAAATCTTTCACATGTGCATAAGTATATATACTATTACCATCTCACTTCTTAAATTCTTGGTTAAATTAAGCAGGATGAGCTTTCTTGGAATCGGAGGCATGATTTTTAGACCTTGCATACTTCTGTAGTTGTTTCTTGCATTCGTCTCAAGTTTTCATCTAAGAATGCCAGAAGGTGACATAGCATCTCAGCAACAGTCTGGCAGGTGCCGTGTACAGAAATATTTTCAGCTCCCTGCATCTTTTTATGTTTATCTCTTTGTAATTCGGAGCATTATTTACTGTTTAGCTGCAGACCTGCATGGAGCTCTCATAAAATAACTATCTACAATGATTTCTAAATTCTCTTCAGTTTTACTCTCCTAAGCATAACCAACCGTCTCTGTTCTTAGGCGAACAGTTCCATATGGGACCAGGAAAAAGCCCATTGTCCAAACAACTCACCACTCCATGCATTTGTTGTATAACATTTCCTTGATTATATTTATTGTTTTTCACCAAAGAGGCTTGCTTATGCTTGTCATTTAACAGAAAGTCATTCTCATATGACTTCCAGTCATTCCTCACACCTTTATATATAACAGTTGCCTCCTACTTAGTTTTCTTTCTATTCAGGATGGGAAATTGTCCTTTTTAAAGCACTGTGTAAGGTAGAACTGGTTTTTATCCACACATGGTGAATTAAATTCATTTATAATCAACTGAACTTTAATTCTTGATTTCTAATCGAAATCTAATATACTTTTACCCTTTGCCTAGCTGCTGTGATTTTTTTCTAAGCAGCTCATCGCTTGTATTTTTCAGAAACATAAAGATACTTTCTTGAGGAAAACTACTGGTATGCATTCCCTTCCTGGAGTCTTTCCTCTCACGTCATATTTATGTTTGAAAGGGCTCTTCATCACATTCCTTTCTGATTGAGCGGTTGACTGCAGATCTGTATTGATACTGAGACTGTAATGTGCCTGTTAATACATTGACCCATATCTACTCTAGATGAAATGAGCAATCGCTTTAAAGCAGATAGTGGTGTCTTTATTATACCACACAACTTGCTGGTCTCTTCTGTCTGTCCCAGTGCTTTTTGAAATAATTTGAAAAATTCTAGTACGCTTCAGAAATCGCACTGAATTGCACTTATCGGAAGTGAATTTTTCTGGCTCTGTTCATTATCCAGGTTTCCACTATGGGGTATAAACAACGGGTTTGTTGTCTTTGCATCCCTTGACATTTTCATGAATCTTATATTCAGGTAATGGTATCATATCATACGTTCTGAGTGTCCTCCCTAATAAACACTGGTTGAAAGCCCTGCAGAGTAACCTATTTTGATTGCTATCCAAAATGTTAGGCAGTCCCACTAGAGAGAGGGAGAAACTTCCAAGGTCTACGGACTTCAGTTTGCAGAGTGGGACAAATAGTCCACAGGATATCACTTACCTAGCCAGTGTTTAATCTCCTGTATCTTCTGCAATCTGTTTCTCTCATTTGGGCATCAGGAAGGGTTCCCGAGCAGACTGTCTCTCTCCTGTTTTCAGGGAGCTTTAATAACTTAATAAATATAACTGAACACAGCCCAGGTCTACTACTGCGTTGTGTTCTGTGACAAACTGGGCATCCCTTCCTCGGTTTTTATCGTGGAAAACGGGCTCCTTTGTTGCCATCACTTCATTCTCCAACTGAATAGGCAGTTGCCTTGTCTGAAAGTGAATGTACAACTCTCTTCTCTTCAGGATCAGTGGTTGCCTATCCAAAGGGTTGATTTCCACCACCCCCCCCAGCAAACTATTGACTCTTCACTATGTGGGAAACTTGTCTTTGGACAGGAAGCAGGAGGTGGTACGGCTTTTGCTGGTGCTTGGGTCACTCTGGGCTGTTGTCAGCGGCTAAAGGGAGCTGTACCTTTGGAAGGAAATTCTGCGTTCCCTCTTGCAAAATGTCTCAAAAATTATCTCTGCCATCAGGTTTACCTCTTTGCTAATAGAATTGCAGCAAGGGCAGCTGTTCTAAGTGTAAGTGGAGTCAGTCTGGATACCATTTCATGATTCATGTCCTAGAAAAACATGGTTTTCCTGTTTCTATAGTAGAGACATTGTTTCTGGCCGTCTGCTTAGAGCAGTGGCTTAGTGTTTGGGAAATGCTTGCAACTGAGGGCATCTGCCTTTTTTTTTTTCTTTTTTTTTTTTACCATCTAGATTTCTTTCAAACAAACAAAAAAATCCAAATCAGAAAAAAACCCAAGCCTGAAACTTTATCCTAATCTCTAGCCTAGAAATACAAGAATATAGTTGCACATCTATAATAATAATGGTGATAAAAAACAACCGAACACCAAACCCACAGTTCAAAGGGAATAATAAATCAATGGCTTACCCAGTCTCTTTGCGTGTTTTCGTGAGAGTTTTATTTAACATGTGTATGACTTCCTGAAAGTATACCAAAATATTGTTCAAAACAAAGGTAATAAATACAGAGATAGTACATAAAAAAACAGAATGAGAAACTTGTTTACTTTATAAATCAGTTTTCATATGTCAAAAATCACTCAAAGCACTTAGAAATCTGAAATTATTCCAGCATATGGAAATAAATTGGTCATAAATGATGTCCTGCAATATTAAAATGTTTCAGGCATACCTTAAAAAAAAAAAAAAAAACCCACAACAAACACAAGACAAATAAACAAACAAAAAACCCCCAAACCACCCAAAACCAACAACATGATCAAAACTCCATAATCTCTAAGTTCCGCATGTGCTCCTTTTCCTGCCATCCACTCTCCCCAGGGTTTGTCATCTTGTGCTGTCAAGTGGGTCATAAGGCATAGCAGTGGTGACTGTTTCTAGGTCAGACAGTAACATGTTGGGAAGAGTAATTTTATAAGATGCACAGAAATAGTATTTTACTTTTACAGTAGGAAAGTGTTGACTTGCTAAAAATTACTGCATTAACTTCACACCGCAGACTTATTTCACTGAACTGATGGTAGTGACATGCCAGTTTTACAGCTGGTAATATCTCAATATTGTTTGAAAAGAAGAGGAAGGAAAAGGGGAATTTTAGGTTACACATTTCCAGAGGTGGTAAGGAAAGGAACTGAACTGTCTTGGTAATTACCCTAGCTATTCTGTTATCTTTGTGCCTTATTATACACAAGGCACTTGGCATATTTGCACCATTTTTAATAGACATTATAATAGTTCAAACTGCAAAACCAGGCTAATCTGCTCTGGTTTTATTAGCATCGTACTTCAACATCTGAGCAAGAATATGCACTTTCATAAAGTTAAACTGTTTTTTTAACAAACAAGTTACCCGTGAAGACTTTTCCTACCACTCCTTGATTGTGCCTGTTAAAAAGAAGAAAGGCAATTAGTGAAAAAGCAGTGGCAGGGGAAGGGAGGCATGCTTTTGAGAGAAAAATGGATGCATGTACACACCGAGAGCCTGTAGATCGTGTGATTTAGATGTTACAAACCCTCTAATGATACTGCGGTGCAGGTGAAGTTGTTCTGTGGGCTGATGGTGACTAAAGTCTTTGTTTTCCATCCTTCCTAGAAATTAAGAAGCCACCGGTGGCCCCCAAACCAAAATTTGTGGTAGGACACAAGGTGACGCCTCCACCTGTTGCACCGAAGCCCGACGTTGTGCTTTCTGGTGTTATACAAGCAGCAAGGAAAACCAAGCCAGCAATTGCACCGAAACCAAAGGTTCTCAAGAGCTCATCCGTTCCGGATGTTAAACCTCCATCGTCTACAAGAAAAAGCACAAAAAGCTTTGAGGAGCCCAGGGGAGATTCTTCTCAAACACTAGACCACTTGAACTATAGAAATGAAGCCTCGGAAGGTAGTACTGATAACACAGCATATATTCTACCAATGTCATCTTGCAAATTTGAATGCCTTCATAAGCTTGGAAATGGGGAGAACACCTGTAAAACTCAGATAATTTTCAAGCACTTTGAAAACTTAGAGAACATCAAAGTCGGTGAAAAAAACGCGCTAGCTCTGGGGGATAGTCACAGTGAAAAGCTGGCAAATAGAAATCAGGTGGTTTTGAAAGCCAGCATTTTGGAAGAGAAACTTAAGGACGTTCTAACTCATAGTGTGTTTCCTAACAGCAGTCCTGTGAGGCACAGGTATGCAGACAAACTTGACAAAGGGGATGGCAGCAGTTCCAAGAATGACCTTAGAATAGAGTTTATGGAACTTGTGCAGTCTTCGTTGTCTTCTGAGGTAGCTAAAGGGAAGCAACAAAATACTGACGGTAAGCTCACTGCTGATGAGTTTCAGATGTCTGAAATTTGTCCTAGTTTGACTGAAAATAACCACAGTTGCTCTTCCTCATTGGACCAGGAAATCCTGGAAAATGAAAATTTAAGTAGCAATAGTATGTTTTCAGGTGAAATGGGTATGAAAGCAGATGCTGATAAAATCTCCTCTGAAACATCTTCAGTCCTAAGCTCAAAAGTGCTTCCTGTCCCTAAGCCAAGAAAGCCACGTGCTGCATGTCTAGTCCGTCAGGATGGCATAGACACCACAGGAGAAGGAACAAAGGAACCATCTAAATCAGAGAAAGGTTCCTTTGGGATTGCGGAACAAAGCTTTAAAAAGCAAGCAAAAATTAATATCCTTGGTCAAAGTGTTTGTTATAATAATAATACAGAAGTGCTTCATCCTGAAAAATGTCAGATAACTCAAAGCAATGCAGACAAAATGCATCAGGTGAAGGAACCTGCTATGGAAGAGTCAAGTTCACAAAATCTTTTGCCTCAGTTGTCACACAAAACTTCTGATTTGGTGGAAAGTGTTGAATGTTCTTTAGATGCAGACTGTAACTTGGTTAACTCCATGGATGAGATGACAGATGATACCAGTGTGCTAGATTCTGTGGACAAAAGGACTAACTTTGTCAGGTGTGATACTTTGTCCATGAGTTTGCCAAAGCAACTCAAATTAACTAGCAGTCAGCACTCACCTGCTTCCAATAACCTCCATGTTTCCCCAAAAAAATTGGAAGATAAAGAAGTTAAAATAAAGGATGAAAGTTCTCCAAAAATTGTTCCTAAGAAACCACAGAGGCACAGCCTACCAGCTGCTGGCCTGCTGAAAAAAGCTGCATCAGCAGAGCTTGTGGAGAAGAGTTCTTATGCCTCCAGTGAGGACAAATCAAACAGCGTTCTGGAAGGATCTCACTTCACATGTCCACCAGCCAAGGAGCAAGGCGTGGTGTCATCCTGTGACATACCCAAACGTTCTTCTGAGAAGCCCGTCTGGAAGTTACCTCATCCTATTCTTCCATTTTCAGGAAATTCTGAATCATTAAAAACTGCTAACATTGCTACCAGCTTCAACCACTTGGCTGTTGTGACAAAGCCTAGGGCCAAATCTCTCTCTTCTGTGGACATGGAAAGGACAGACAAGCCTTGCAAAGACCATCAGAAGAAAAATAGCTTGAAAAAGTTTCTCAACATGAAACTGTCGGTTTGCTTAATGAAAAGCGACTTCCAAAAATTTCTGTCTAAAGGCAGCCAGTCAACGGATAGTGCTATTGCCAACCTTTCCACCGGGGACGGGTATGGAAGTGGCAGCAACCGGAATATAGCGTATGTAGGCAGTGAAAGGAAAGCTAAATCTGCCAAGGTGCATTCTATAGAAATAAGTAGTCCGGCGTTACAGAAGAAGAGGCAGAGAAACAGAAGTCAGCCTGAGATGCGAAGTAACCAAAGGCTGGAGTCTTTAGATGGGCATGTACTTTCAGGAGAGAATTTGTCACAAATGCATTTGAATTCTGTAACCAGCGCTTGTGCTCCGGAGTACGAGAATGTGCGTCACTATGAGGAAATACCCGAGTATGAGAACTTGCCTTTTGCTATGGGTGCTGGGAGAAGTCTCTGTTTTGAATGGCAGAACTCCAGCAGCGTGGAAGACCCTGGATTCTACGAGGTTGAGGAGCCTTGCGAAGTTACAAACAGGCGTTTGAGACTTGGCAGGTAAAATAAAGAGAAGAGGGAAGTTAAACAGCTCCACTGCAACTCTGGTGGTTGTAAACATGTATAGATGATGACTTGAGAGGCTGTACCCCTTTCGTTAAATGTCAGGAGGACAGTTGTTGCTGTGTATCTTTGTAAGCTTTTGCTGTTTTAAGAACTGTTTGCACTTGGTAAAGAGTCAGGAGGAAAAATAAGCTAGTTATTCCTTATATATGATAAAAAATTGGGAAACTAACATATGTGCTTTTCCAGATTTAAAGCAAATCAGATACAGTCATGTATTTGTATCCAAGAATACTTAAATGGGGAGGAATGAACCTTACCACAGTCTCAGGATGAACTTGAATAAGCATCCACAGTTGTTAGGTTTGTAGTGGGAATGAATCTATTTTTAGATCAGCTGATAAAGCTGGGAGAAGCAGACAAGCTTTTGAGTATGCAAATTCTTCATCAGGTCTTGAAAGCTTTTTGCATATAGCAAAAGATACTGCCTCTCTCTGAATATTGCGAGTCTTCTGTATCTCCCTGTGCTCCCAGATGCAATGAAGGTAGTAGTAGTGCATGAGTTCTGCGTGACTCACACAGAGTATTACTGAAAGACAGGGTTTGGCGACTCTGCAGGTTGCTGCTGTGTTTCATTGTCTTCGGAGGTGGTGGAGACACATGATATCACCTAATTCAAAAAGGGATTGGACTGATTCACAGATATGTCCAAAACAGATGCATAGAGGAATAGGCAGGAACAGATCTTTTAATATCTGTAATACTGTGATTGTGGATGCTGGGAAGAGGAACAGCTCACAAAGAGTGGCCAGGCTTATACGTTCTCCCTAAATAGCATTGCTTACTGTGTCTGTCAGAGTGTGGTAACAGGTGAAGCATTGTTTTGACCCAGTACGGTAATATTTAACTTCTTAACTTCAGCTAATCAGTTGGTCTTACAGATCCTCAAGATTTATCACAAACCAGCAATAAGGATTTGAATGAAATATGCAGCCTGTATACTTCATAGTCCCCAAGCAAACTTCTTTACACTGTTGAGAGTATATGCAGATTGACAGGAATAAATGAGCTAGCTTATAGATAGTCACGTTTAACTTCATTTTTTCACTGAGAGTTACACATCGTTTTGGATGTGTGTGCAGCAAACGCATGCTCCAAAGAATCTGAGAGCTGGCCATTCTTTAGGGGAGTGTGTCCTCTTATATAGGAGGAGAAAAATATTTTAAGTGGCATCCTGTGTTAATAATTGTTTATAGAATTGATATCCTCAACATTGGACTGTTTGATGGAAAGCATGGAGCCTTATCACGGGAAGTAGCATTTCTGGTTATGGGCTCGGTATTGCTGTGTTTATTCATGTGGTTGTTGAGTATTTTTCTTGTTTACAGTAGGGTGTTTCTTGGTTTTGTCTTGGCGTGTACTTTCTGTTTAAATCTAATCTTTGGGTATCTTTTGGGGGTTTTGACCACACTCTCTTAGTATTCCGTTGATTTGGTTTACCTAAGAAGGGTGAGACCAAACAAATAAGGATGTATTTTACGTGTTTATGTGATCTGTTTTGGTTTGTGTTGTGGTTCTGGTTCAGGTGAATGTATGTCTTTGCTTTAGGAAAAGAAAAGGACAGTTTTGCTGTATGAAGCATGGTAGGCATGAGACTGCAGTTGCTCCTTGCGTGAAATTCTGTAGTTTTCTTACCTGACTGTGAGAGATTTGTAGTTATTCCCTCTCCACACAAACCTTCCCCAATGGTACCAATGGTGATTTAAGGGTTTAAGTGATCTCTTGCACCTTGTCACATCTGCAACTGTAGCTGCTCCCTAAGCTGGATGTTCTTGACATAACTGAGTTTGTGTTTTGTTTTTTTTTTAAAAAGCACACATAGAAAACCATAAGCAGAACCCTTAATGTAAGTGTTTATTTTAAACTAAATTACGTAGTCAGAAACTACCTTAGGAAACAATTAAAGAAAGCAGTTACTTCAGTAGATCTCAGGGAACAAAGAAATCCCTAGGAGAAAAAGGGACACAACGGGGCGGTGGTCTCCTGACCCGGTTCAGCTGCTGCTGGAAGAGCAGGTACAGGTATTCACTTTGGCTCTGGCTTGGGAGGTGTAAGGGTCTTCGGCTGGACGGAGCCAGGCAGGCAGCTGCTCCAGTTTTCCCATCCGTTGTTATCTCAAATCCTTTGAAGCTTCTTTATCAATGTTGTCTCACCTTTTCTGCATAGTTCTTTCAGAGCCTTTTATCATTCCCTGGGCCAGGTGCTATTATAAAACCGGTTAGAGAAACAGTGCTGATGTTATTGAAATAATTACCGCTCGCGTTTTCCCCAGCCTGTCAGAACACGCACGTAGCTCTTTTTCACAGATCATGGCACATACGACTCCTGTAATGCACTGCTAATGGGGATCTCAAAGCACATTATCTTACGATTAAAGCCAACGGACAAATGAGATTGTTCTTCTGAGAAATTCATAGACCGATTGCCTGCATTTCTAGTCATAATAGCACATATGCAGTATATTAGGTCTGAATGCCAGGCTTGCCATTACCAGAAGAGTTTGGTGGTGTCTTTACCCCATGTTACATTTCTTTCTGGAGGAAGAAATGAAATTTTCATAACATACCCAGTGCTTTGGTGGTTACTGAGAAATTTCTTCCCAATCCCATCTGGTGAAACCAGTATGCTTTAATGGAGAATGGTAATACCTGCTGACACTCTTATCCTAAATTCATGTCTCATTAAATTCAGATACATTTTGTTTGCTTGGGCCTTCCCACAGGGATTTAAATGCGAATGGCGGGCCTGGGTAATTAATGGTGGGGTATCGGTTGTCACTTACCACTTGATTTTTGAGTTATTTGATGTCTCCCTCCCTTCTGCTGAAGGTGGGCTTGGCTTTGAAAAAAAGACAACCAGGGTCCTGATTCAGTGGGTGTCTCACTGAGGTGAGACATATGCTGCTGATGGGAGACGATGGGTTGTGCTTGTTTTAAGTAGTTCAGGGGAATATTCTCAATAAAGTAATGACAATACATTAGGAGCAGATAATCTTATGTTTTGTTTCCACTGTTGAAAAAAGAAATCTCTTGAAGCAGTTTTAAAGGATTGTTTATTTTGTGCTAGTCTACCTGTTTGACTACCAATTTAAAATAGATAATGAAGGTGAATGTGTTATTATGAGGACTCTGTAAACAAAGTGAGTGAAGAATAGGTGCTGTGGGATAGAAAATGTACTGTTAAATGTAAAAGAAGTTTTAAATATCATTATCCAGTTGCAGATAACAACAGGGAAAGCAGCTCTTTGGGTATGTTTTTTTGAGAAATGAATGGTTCAGTCATGAAACGTGAGGTGAAAAGTCGGTGCTGCTGGTACCACCACAATTCATTTTAATGTTATCAGAGACCAGTGGTTGAAATGGTTCTGTTTTGAAGTAACACCATTTTTTTAAAACCTTTTAATGAAAGAGAAATATTTATGCATTGGTTATCCTCTTTTTAGTGACAAACCTTTATTCTGAGGAGGACAGCAAAATCTTCCTTAAAACCAAAAGTAAAATTTGTCCAGTAATCTAAAGATGCAAAGGAACAGTGAACGTGCCTTGGAACATCTGTCATGCTGCAAAAAGCAGAAATTTAAACATTTATGGATCTTGCGGACTTCGTTTTGGTATTTGTTACGTTGTTGTAGGCAAGAGAATTGTATTTCAGGTTGAGTGAGTGTGCTCCTTCACCCTTCAGGGAATAGCATACTGTGTTTACTGGCTACTTTTGACAGTGTTCCTTCAAGATGTTGCAAATGTACATGACTGCTAATTGATTTTGACAAAATTTGTAGCTGTGTCATTGTGTTTCTGACTAAGATTTTTCTTTGGAAAGGGCTGGGGGGGAGTACCATGTGACAACAATCCTTTGAGATCTTAACGTTGGTTTAATTAAATGCTGCTTCCTATTTTTCCCACCCCTGCTGATTTAGAATAATCCATTGGTTTTCCAGAAATTAGCATCTCAATGCAAAATGTAAGTTTAGTTTTCTGGACTAAATTCTGCTTTGGTGACTGAGTCCCCAGAGGTCAATTAAATATCCATGAAAGCCTTCCTGGAATATTGAATTTAGTATTGAAATCTGTGTGGTTAAGCACTTTGCTTTGATACATATTCCTCTTTGATGTACTGAACTTTGTTAGGATTGAAACATGCTTCTGATGAGCAGTATTGCACCAGATAAATGTGGTCTTGTTTAGGAATTGGCTATGTTAGGGAAGGGTTTTTTTTGCAATTGCAAAATTCCAATTCAAAAAACATTTCTAGAGCAACGCTATGTTCATAAAATACTGCAGGTTCTAAATAGCATTTAAAAACGGTTTTCAAACACTTGAGATTTGAATGCAGAGCAGGAAATACATTTTAGGGATTGAAGGTGTTATACGTTTAAAAACCACATTTTCTTTTTACTGAATTTTATTGAAGGATATAATTTCCTGATAAGTAGAGGCCAGGTATGTAGAGTTTTTTGGATTTCATCTGCTTCTTAAAGATGATAGTGGATTAGTTTCTGGTCTGAAGAAGGCAGGTTCCTTTTCTTCCATCAGCTCTGCAGTCTTGTCCTGTCTTCTGATCTCCCCCATGCTTCTAGCTGGCTTCTGCCATCCTTAGTTGTACCTTAAATTCTTTCTCTGCAATTGTACCTCAGGTTTTAGTGGAATAGCTTTGATAATATGCTGTTGAGGTTTCCTATCAGGCTTCATTATCTCGATCATGTGTTATCACTGGCTTTCTTTTTGTATCCTGCTTCCTTGAGCCTGCCTTTTCCTTACTCACCCCCCACCCCCCTCGCTTTCTCATGTACACGTTATGCAGCTGGTAGGCTTCTGCCAACTCTGAGCCCTTGTCAGTAAAGAGTGAGTGAGATGGCTCAGATCTCCGCTTCCCGTCCCCTGCGAGGCTGAATGCAAAGCCTATCCGGCAGTCCCAGCTCTGGTGCTCGGGAGCAGGGA